GTGGCTCTACGATGAACACGTTTTGCTATCGGCCACAAAAACGATAACCACTGTGGCTGCTGATCGCTGCCATGAACTGTTGTGAGGGAAGCGTGTCGTTCGTACGCGAAACATTAGGGAGCACTAGAATCATCATGCGCACTGACGCGCGAGCTGGTTTTTCACGTGGTATTTTTTTTCGGTATTTTGCCGGAAAATGTAATTAGCAAAAAATACTAATCCTTAACATATATAATGTTCAAAACTATCTGTTTGGACGTTTCGCAAACCAATCTACAACATTTCTAGTGAAATTTTTTATTCATCTTCTTTCCTTCAAAAGTTAGTTAATTAAACATATATAATAAACAATATTTGAAAACAGAAAAATAGTCTGACTAACTCCAGGCAACGGTGAGTAACATGCATTTGGTCGCATTGTGATTACGTGTTCTGGCACATTTTTAAAATTATGGCTAATGTTACGTGGGACAGTGCCTTCTGCGCAGTAAGGACAATACCGCAGGTAGCATGCAGACACCTAATGTCGGTAATTTTTGAGTAACAGTGGACACACTTCTTGAAACACTCTGTATATGAGATGTATGAAAAAAATTACTGGGATGCCACAATTTCTTTTACCAGTTTTCCTTAGTGAAACTAAGTATTCAGTAAAATAAGTAAATAAAGTAAACAGTAAAGTATTCGCATTACACAACAAATGTAGCCCATGCCAAAATTATAATGCTCATTGTGCTGCGTAGGCGAAATAAATAGGACTGAGCATTTAATTAGTTCAATTGCTCATACGTGATATTCATGATGACTCAAGACATCCAGTGTTTTTTTTTTTTTTGCGCTGCCCTTTTTGCCGTAGTGAATTGGTTCCCTTTTTTTCAGCCACAGAATCACGCTGCAGGCTCGTGTACTGTGCAATGTCAGTGCACGCTAAAGAACACTACATGGTCGAAATTTCTGGAGCCGCTTAAAAGTGGCGTCACTCATAGCCATATCATATTTTTGGGAAGTAAAACCCCGGATATTATTATTATTATTATTATTATTATTATTATTATTATTATTATTATTATTATTATTATTATTATTATTATTATTATTATTATTATATTATTACTATTATTATTATTATTATTATTATTATTATTATTATTATTATTATTCGTTTCTCTGACATTTTCGTGTTGCGCTTTCAGCACTTCTTTGTTTAATTAGACAATTTACTTTGTTTCCAATATCCCCAATTTCTCGTAACCTAAGCCTTATCTATTTTTCTTATTGATGTAATGTTTATCGTATACCTGCTCACAGTCCATGGACTATATATATGGGGCTACAGTGATTGAAAATAGTGTTTTTATTGCTGGTGTATTGTCATGTTTTTGCTGTTGGTAAATTCTAACATTTGTTGATCTTAAAAAAAAAAACAGCTCCACTTGTAAAGCACGGGCACTTCTTTAGGAACGTATTTCCGCGCTCTCTTACTTCCCGTCTTCTCACCGTACAATTGCTACTCGAGGTGCGAGAAGTGATCAAGAATATCATCAGAAAAGAACCGCAAACGCTGCGTAGGATAAGCCTCTCGTAAATCACTTGTCGCCTTTACGTTTCCTTCGTAGACTCGGCTCTTCGTCGGGGCTTAGCAGTTTAGCTTCGCTGTCAGCAGTTGAAGCCGCCAGTAACGAACGACATTCGGACGATCTTTTTTTTTTCTTCAGGAATGAAATAAGGGGGGGGGGGGAGATGTTTCCTGCGTTTGTGTAGTCTCCTAAAGCTCATGGAGCTCACATTTTTTTTGCCCAAGGTTCACTCTGATGGGCCAAATCGCGCTGTTTACTACTTTGTAGCACTCGCGGACTCAGCACGTGGAGAAAACCATGGTCGCAAAAAGTGCTGAGCCGTCTGTTGATTCTCCTGGAGTGTCCCCGAGCTGCACAGATACTTTTTTAATATTTCGGCTCCTCTGAAATGTTTCATCGTTCTTTTGAATTCGTCTATACTATTCTTAGCAATCGTCTATTAAAGTAACAGCGACAGTTGCAAGTTCATTCGACGCACACTTTCGCCAATTCCCGTTGGTCGAGTGGGCACTTGCTTGTGGTTGTCAACATTGTTGACGATGGGTATGATTGAAAAGAAGCGAGAATTTAAGGTAAATCAAGTCAATATATTCACGTGATTAAACTTTTTTCGCGAAATTAGAGGAGAAACGGTACAAATGTACGATTATGAAAGTTTTTTTCGTTATTGAACAAATGTTAACATTTCAAATAAAAAAACTTTGAAATGAGAGCTTCAGTTTGTACCTTTTGCTTATTATTCAATTGACAAGTAAGTTTTGAAAGAAAGAATAAGTTATAGTAGGTTCAGTGCGCCTCCATATCGTCTATGGAGGCGGAAATGTTGTAGGCCCGTGTGCTCAGATTTGGGTGCACGTTAAAGAACCCCAGGTGGTCGAAATTTCCGGAGCCCTCCACTACGGCGTCTCTCATAATCATATGGTGGTTTTGGGACGTTAAACCCCACAAATCAATCAATCAATCCATATAGTCTATGTAGAAGAGATACAGTTCCTTCGTGAGCCAAAGTAAGGGTGGAAACTATAGCCACAATAAACGTTGAAACAGCTCTTTGAAGCCGCAGACAAAAATTCATAGGTGGAGTTTATATGATACCTGTCCAGCCTAAAGATTAAGTGTGCTTGAAGATAAACCACTTCATTTTGTTTTCACGTGTCTGTTCTTGACAGGTTCACACAGACACGCGATGCACGTAAGCATTGCAAACTAGCACACTATGTTAAGTGAACAGCTTTTTTTTTTTTTGGCTATGCATTTTTCAACATTCGCGCAACTTCGTCGCTGTTTTTGCAGCCACACGGCACGTTGCGTTCGTGTGCTGCGTTGCACACCAGCAGGCTGAATGAGGGAGGATATGCGCGTGTTGTGGCTGATGTGACAGAAAAGCAGGCTAACAATGTATTTTATCAACACACAGCAAAAAAACTCTGGTAATTGCGCTAATGTTGAAGTTGCCAGAAAGTAGCCATGACACAAAGTAGCCACTGCCACGCTTGGCAACCCTGTTGGTTATTACTTTTGTTTGGGATTTGATAGATAGATAGATAGATAGATAGATAGATAGATAGATAGATAGATAGATAGATAGATAGATAGATAGATAGATAGATAGATAGATAATGTGATTTTGTGTATTCATTGTCTTTTTTCTATTTTCTTTCCATTTTTTTTCCGGCATTTGTTTCTAAATCTTGCTAAGGGTGCAGTATCTCAGTCGCGAGAAAAATGTTTCTTGATTATACGAACAATGCGCTATGAATGCTAAACAAAAATAGAAAAATGTTCCAGTTGAATAAAAAGAACACTATACATGACCGTGTTCAATGTTTCACACTTTCGTACCACCATCAGTGTACAGTCAGCGAAGTATTATCAGGAGTGCCCAAAGGTTCAGTCCTCGGACCCCTTTTGTTTTTAATTTTCATCAATGATCTGCCCACCGGTATTACATTACCCATCTAGTTTTTTGCCGATGATTGCGTCCTGTACCACCACGTTAGCTCGCATAACGATCAGTTGCTTTTACAACGTGACCTCACAACAATTGAAAAATGGTGCACTCGGTGACTGAAGTAACTAAACGTCAAAAAATGTATATTTATGCACGTATCGCGAAAACATTCTCTCATACCCTACTCCTACTCTTTGCAGTCTCTTCTTATTGAGCTGGTTGATTCATACAGGTACCTCGGGGTTACCATCACAAGCAAAATCACATGGCCCAAACATAATCATAATCTGGCAGCGGCCACTAACAAATGCCTGGGATTCATTAGACGGTCACTTTAATCATCACCACTTTCGAACCGAAAACTGGCATTTGAAACATTTATCCGCACTAAAGTGGGGTTCGCATCAGTAATAAGGAACCCACAACAGGCGTACCTTGTTGACCTATTCGAAGCTGTCCGAAACCGCGCCGCCCGTTTCATTACATCCCAGTACGACCATCCGCTAAGTGTCACAAATATCAAATCATCCCTGGACATTGAATCGTTAGCACTTCGTAGAAAAATCTCTCGCTTATGCCTCTTTAACAAGCTCTATTACAACTTTCCACACTTACGTGAGATGTTTCTTCTCCCGCCAAACCGCACTTCACGCCGCCTGTCCAACTCCCGCAGTCTTCGAAAAATTCACGGCTCTACCAATTCGTTCAACAACTCTTTCTTGCCAATAGCCATTGCAGAGTGGAAAAGTTTACCTGACCATGTTGTGATTGTACGTGGCCCCATAAAATTTCGAAACGTACTAACAAATTTATTGAGTGCTGATTCGTAACGAATTGAGATTCTTGTGTACTTGTGTTTTCCTCTTGAGCGCATTATCCTTTACGTGCATTTTGATGATTTCCATGTAAATTTTATTTCTTTTCTGCTTTATTAATGACGATTTTAACGTTCTTTTTCTCTTGTGTATGCTCCCCCTTATGTAATACCCCGGCAGGGGCCTTTAAGGTTAAATAAATAAATGATGATGATGATAATTTTGTTGACATTTAGTATTCAAAATATAGAGATGTAACAAAAGTGCTGCAAGAAGAAAACAGATCAACGAGCGTGAGATGATTCTCGCACCCAGGTTCGTTCATCTGTAACGCCGCAGAATAAACTTATTGGCAATCTTGTTATTTTTTCATCTTGTCGAAATTTTCCAGAAACGGTTGGAAGAAACAGTTGGAAACCCACGGCTAAGGCTTACCTAAAAAAACTCGGACTACCAGTTATTGAGAATCCCGACACCAAATCCCGACACTAAAGGCCGGCGACACACGTTTTCTACGTTCAGCGAACAAACATCTTTTTTTTTCCTTTCGTACTCTCTCGCTGGGTTGCTTCATTTCATTATCATCAAGGAAGTGTGCGGGAAGACAATTTAGCACAGGGCACGTGACAAGCATACATGCTGCTTCGACTCACTCACCATGCACGGAGGAACATTGACGGCGACCGATGCAAGGCGAGCGCAGTCCACCTTGCCGGAGCGCGTGCTCCTCCGGAGAGCGCAGCCGTCCGCGAGCCGCTCCGCTCCGCAAACTTGGCGCAACTGCCTTAGAAGAGCGCGAACACGCGCGACGCGTGCCGACGCTGACGACGCCGGACGGAGCGCAACGCCTGCGATCGACACAGCGCCAGTCCCCGTCGACGGCGTTGCTCACAGTGCGGCCACCGCTGCCACCAGTCCGGACGGCCGAGCACGGGGGCGGGTTAAGTAGTCAGCGCATGCGCCGGACCCCTCTGACTACTGCAACAGTTCCTCACGCTCGGCAGCCACGGTCGGTCTTGCTTTCGGCTTTCTTTTGTTCTGCTCCCCGACTGCCTCGACCGAGGAGTTCTTTTTGTCTTTCGTAGAGGCTAAAGTGTGAAATGCGAACGCCGGTATTGCTCAGACGTCGCGCTTAAGCAAGGTGAATTCGTTACCCATTTCCATTTCTATTGCGCCCACTAGCCGCCCTTCATTTGCTCGCGTTATTTATTATTTCGCTCTTTTAGATTCTACTACTTGTGGTGAAGCCGGAGCTGATATAGCGAGTACTACGAAGGTGCGAATCCACGGTGTGCGAAGCAATATATGCTGTCTTTGGTCGAGGTAGGAAAATGACTTTGAGGCGCTCTCACAAAGCGTCTCGGTTAGGAACTTCGGTAGTTCGAACTTATTAGAACGAAAAAAGCAAATGATAAGGAATATTGCTGGCGGCTATACCGTCTGACGCACCCTTAAAAATGAAATAAAGACAGGTTGTGCATACCACTTTTGTGTAGTATAGAGTTCACAAAAAAAGATATGTCTTTCGTGCTATTAACCCCTAAAAATAGTGTCGTTGTGTGGCTGTGGTTCAGGTTCACCGAGAAAGTGGCATCACTGAAGTAGAGATGTGCAGGCGTTCCTCTTTAGGCACAAAGCTAGAGATCTTTTTGAAGGAAGAAGGGGATTTAGCTAACCCGTGTGCATGTTTTTGAATGAATGCAAATATATATCATCATCATCACCATCATCATCATCATCATCATCATCAGCCTAACTACGTCCATTGCAGGACAAAGGCCTCTTCCATCTTCTGCCAGTTAACCCGGTCCTATATATATATATATATATATATATATATATATATATATATATATATATATATATATATATATATATATATATATATATATATATATATATAAATGGAAAGAAGTGTATACTTAAGGGCTCGATTTTCCGTGTTTTGACACAATATAAATGAGATCTAACAGACAATAAGGCGGTAGAATGTATAGGAGAAATTAAACTCAATTGTATTGTAAACGTGATGAAAGGAAAGTGGGTGAAAAGATAAGTTACCTGCGACCTTCGAATAACGCGTTCGATGCTCTACCACTGAACTACCACAGTGGCTATCTCCCCAGCCACTTTATTGGGTTTATACGTGAATATACACGTGAGAGTGCCATTCAGTGCCAACTGTAGTCATGGCGGCAAGTTTGGCACACTTTTTATGAGCCTGCTTGGCGTCACGTAACACTTGAACATATTACAAGCTGGCAGCTGACCAATAGTCCCTCGTATACAACTTAACTGCACCAAGTCTGCCTGTACGAGACAATGCTTAATGAATTAGGGAAAAAAGGGTATACTTAAGGGCTCGTTTTTCCGTGTTTTGGCACAATAATAATGATATCTAACACACAATAATGCCATAGAAGGTATAAGGGAAGGTATAAGTTATTAGACCCAACTGTATTGTAAACTTGAAGAAAGAAAAGTGGGTGAAAAGATATATATATATATATATATATATATATATATATATATATATATATATATATATATATATATATATATATTGTATATATATATATCTATTTATCTATTTATTTATCTATCTATCTATATATTTATCTATCTATGACTTTTAGCTCTCCTGGCCATTTCAATAATGGTATCGATACTAAAATTGGTATGACATAACAGGACTGCATGACGAGCATAAGGGCTTAGTCATACCATAAAAATCATTTCAAGTATGCCGTAATGTCATGATTTACATTTTATGGTGTTGGGGCCTTTACAGTGGTTTCGTTAACATGACATTTTGCAAAAGTAGTATGGTATGACATGACTGCATGGTGAGCAGACATGGCACACCCTAACGTAAAAATCATGACATGCATATCATGTAACTCATGACTACAATACACACCCAGGTTGCACTCGCAGTCGTTTCACTACCTTCGCGTATACCAAATTTGGTGTTACGAGACGTCAATGAATGACGGAGGTATATGACTGGTGCAAACATGATAATCATGAAATGCGCGTCATGTGAAACATGACCACACGCTACAGTCATTGCGCGCTCGCAGTCGTTTTGCTAGCTCCATATATACCAAATTAGGTTTCACGTGACGTGAATAGATGGTGAAGGCAAATGACACGTTCAAACATAATAATCATGACATGGATGTCATGTACGGCACAAATTACATCCGCGTCCTAACATTGTGCTAATTTTAAAGTGACATATCAACCTTTTTCATTCGTGCTTCACATATCATCGATGTCCACTGTACGTGGGATCTGCCACTTTTTTGTTACGGCAGAGAGAGCGATAAATCACCATTTAAAGGGGGTGCCCCCCCCCCTGAAAAAATATTTGCCTGCACAGTCCCTGTACCACAGCGATCCCACCAGCTCAAAATATGTAGATTAACTGCATCAATGTAATGTTGTTAGTTCAATTACAGTTATATGGCGCTTATCCTATGTAAAGCTTTTCTCTGATATCCTAAAGACTGTTTTTTTTTCCTTAGAAGGTCCAGCAATATAAAGGAAGGTTAATTGTTTCAGTTTCATTTTTCCTCTAAAGGGATTGGCCTCTAATTGAAGTGTCAGAACTTAGTGTTGAGTGGACAAAACTCTGCAGTGTATGAGGCATTTGGCATCATCTGGTTGTTACATTGTTTACGCATGTGTTCGAACGGCATGCTAGTCCTCAGAGGTGGCGTTATCCTGTTTTTTAGGCACAGCATATTATTTGTACCTATGCGTACACGTTAGGCCCATTTTCCTTACCGAGGCTTGTATGTATGCATGTGTTGGTATGTCGCTAAATTATCATACCATTATACGTCAAAATATCTTCAATGTGGGTGCCACTTTGTCGTTCAAGTGACACAGTGACACAGTGACAGTACGTTATGTGCTCACGCGTGACAATCCGCGAGGCTGTGGAGCACAACGAAACAGGCAGTGATATCACCGCCTTCCCATGTAGGCTGCAGGTGACGGTGTGAGGCAAAGCACTACGTGAAGCCGGCTACGTCAGTGCTTTTCATCACCGCTATATTATGGTATGAAACGTCTTCCAGAGAGACTTTTCTTCGTGTAGTAAAGGAATCCCCTGCAAAAATTCGTTATTGTTTTTGCACTGGACTAGATGACTTCCAATTCTGCAAATAGAGCGTACCCCGAAATTGAAAAAATGAAAACTAAACAACAACTTTTGTTTATCAAGAAAGTACTTAAATGAAGCTTCATCTTACTTGGCGCCCACCATTGTCCCTATGATATAGCTAAAGATAAACTTGAGGCAAGTTATTTTCTTTTGAAAGTATTTCGCCTTCTGAGAAAAAAATATCTAGTTTGTATTCAATACAACTCCTAACCTAAGCTGGAACCATCTATTTCTTTTTAGAAGGCTCTTTATGAGAATTATGAGCGAGATAAATGTCTCCTTTAGTGGGCATCAGAGACTTAGAGGCCCTGAAACACTTTTTATTGTAACCATGGAATGAGTTCACTGGAAGAGCTGATTGCCTCACAAAGTCAACGCCGCAAATTTTTTTTAAAATTCGACCAGCACGAGCGGAGTTGCAAAGATTTGTCGTACGCTGCAATAACATTCTCCGTTCTCTCGTTGCGACGAAAGTGCTGGAAGCTAAGCGAGGAGGGATGGCAGGGACAACAAAAATACGTCACGCACGCCTCGCGACCTAGAGAACTGTTAATATTTTTCTTCGAATACGCGGGTTTTCAATGCCATCGTCCGTGCACGTGTTAGAGAACCTTCATACACACACACTTCCACCCGGTTTTAGGGTGGTGTCAGCCTTTGAAAGAGTACATGCCGCCTGCGAGTTTTGACGCTCGCCATTGTTGCCAACTTCTGTCACCATTTTGTTTCTCAACTAAACCCGTTCCGTAACCTGGTCAACATCAGTACAGTGTTCAGGTAGTTTCAGGCTGTCTCCACGCACACAGCGTTAGTTAGGTAGCACTGCGACGACCTTCGAAACAGTGGTTACACGTGCTCTATCTATGCATGTTGGTTAAGTGTTATGTGAGGGGAACTTGACGCCGTGAATTCTACGTTTTCCATGGTGCGCGTCAACGTTCGCTAGTACTGCGTCACCGGCTACTCGCAGCGAACAAAGCATGACAGGCTGTTGCGTTCCACAATGTTAGAACAACACCCGGAACCAAGTGAGGATGTTTCGCTTCCCGTCGAACCCAACGCGAAAGAAACGTTGGCTGGCACAAATTTAGTGAGACCAAAGGATGGTAACGCTGCCGTCATATGTATGCATGCATGACGAGTACCGCGTTTTGCATATCGTCTGTACCATAGTTACATAAAGACGTAATTTGTGTCCTATACGACTGACGTACGTCAAACTGCTGCGCATCGATCAAATTATATTACGATTACACAAAGGCTCTGCCGCAGGCGTGCTTGAACATGAATGTGGACTTCCCCGAGTGCAATTGTGACGTGGACGCGTACTAACTCACCTGACCTGCAATCCTGTTTTCAGAGAAACTTTTACAGCTGTCCAACTTTAGTTTTTACGTCGGAATGCACATGAAACATGCAGACACCAAGAGGCAACCGCTGGACCGAATGAAGAGATGTGGGTGGCGAAACTGTGGTATCTACGAGGAAAATAAAATATTCGTGAGTCAGGTCTTAAGGATTTTTTTTTCTTTTTTGCCTACCTTGCGCAGTCTCAAGAGAAAGCTAAATACTAAATTTATAAACTTTTGCAGCAATTTTTGAAGCGTGGAAACGTGGCCAAGTTGGTACGCGTGTCTCAATGTTTTATAAGCTACATATGTATTTATTTTTAGCTCATTCAACAAAAGACAAGAATTTTGCTGACAT